AACCCTTACGCCATGACAGCTGTCGCCATTGTTAAGGCTAGTGTGGACCTAATGGCCGGCACAGGACCAAGGTAGGCCAACCGCTTTCGTTTCTGTGCCTCGGATGTAGCGCATTCCTGCATTTGGAGGCTTCGGCCTCGCACACATACATGCTTGCGCGAGTGTCAGCCGGACTGTTGGTGCGCATGCCTCTGAAAGAGAGAAAGAGTAGTATAATGACTCGAGGACTCGCAGACCCCAAGTAACAACTGTATCAGGGCCCTGCCAGTGCCATACAGCACAACCACTTATCTAAGCACACATCTGTCAGCCTTCGGCCTTTCGACCTGGTGGTAATGTCGGACTACTCAAACATGTCTTCTTCACAAAATGGCATCGGCATACATTAACACACACGAACAGAGACAAACAAACACTCATGAGCACATAATGCTCAACATCCACTCTCGGATGACCCCTTGTCCGTTAGTTTTTCCCACCACCTGTTAGCTGGAACCTTTCAGGAGCGGAGGCCAGATCATTCGTCTGATCGTCTGATCATGTTCGCATTACATACTACTTGTGTGTGTGTGTGTGTGTGTATTTGTGTGGACAAAGTCGACAAACTTCGGTTGAAGAGGATCGCCGCCTGTCCCCATAAAACAGAATTATCTTCGCCACAGCACTGGCTGCTCAGACTCTACTGCTTGGGCTTGACTGGCCAGTAGTCGGACCGAGCCAAGGCAGACGAAATGACTTTTTGGCGGGTGAGTCTGGTGACCGGTTGAAGGGCTAGAGGTGTGGACGTATGACCGATTGGCTGTTTGTCTGGCCGAGTCTGTGTTGGCCGGGTGACCAGGTGGCTATGTTTTGCTGACTCTTTGTGGTCGGGTTGTCTACAGACTGGCTGTCTGGCTGGCTGGCTGGCTGGCTGAAGGGCTGGCGCATTTGTCACATCAACTATCTGGTTGTCCAGGCGTCTGACTCGCTGGCTAGCTGATTGGGCGGCCGGTGGTGGATTGGTTCGACAAACGGCCTAGAGTCTGGTCTGGTTCTCTTCTATCTCGCATCGGGCGGCAAGGCCGACTTTTGCATAAAATTCGTTTTCGTGTTGGCTGCAAATTCTGCATCCAAGAGTGTTGCTTTTCCGTTACAAAATGACTTATTACAAGTTCTCTCAAAACTCACATTGATGCAACTTTATTGTAATGCATTTCACCTCCTGCAAAAAGGGCTTGGCTTTTTTCCCAGTCTTCCAGATGCAGGCCCCCCTTGGGAAAATAGTCTGTCAGCCTATTTTGCGTACGCGATGTTGGGCAAGCCGTGCAACTCGAAGCAACTCGAAAAGGAAAGAAAAGCAGCGTTTTGAAGACTGTCTTAGTGAATTACCTTGACTCGACCATTCATTTTCAGGCTAAAGCAGATTTAAGGAATCCGTGAATTCGTTATAGGATTTACGAATGGTGTAGACAAAGCTATTTGTTGATGAAAATATGGGGGAAAATTAAATCAGGCCACTCAGCGCAATAACTATATTATTTGGGAGACTTTAATTTTGTTTGAAAGTACACGATGAAGGTCGATTTCACCAGAAGACGACTGCCAATTCACATTGTACTACAGCCATTTTGCTTTAATGCGAGTTGATGAAGTCCACGAGACCTCCTCTCTCGTTTCAGATGAATACGAGCTGAGCTTTCGTCCATCATACGATGGACAACATCAGAGCTATAACGTATTCTTGTGAAAGTCTCACATTTACACTAGTCTAGGAAAACTGTCCGGAACTATCATACTTCCTACATATACTCATAGCTAAAAAATGAAAATCTAGAAGCATAAATAAATATAGTACTATCAAGGTAATTATCTTTCATGTTGATTAGGCTACTTTTACTCAACCGTGTGGGCGGGTGCGCGTGGTGAGATCAATTTTCGAATCTCTTCTTCATGCATTTTCCTTCGAAATAAAAGTCTCCCCAATTATGTTTTCTAAGGAGATTATTCAAAACCCAGTTACTCTTTATATCCTCAATAAATATACGTTTAGATGCTCTCAAAAGATTTTGGAATGTAATTGAAGCAGGAAAAATAGTGGAATAGAATAACTGAAGAGCCTAGGTCGCAAATAGTATTTTTAAAAATCGAAAAACGTTTGAGTGAACGCATCAATATCTTCGTGGTTTTGACTTCTAAGAAATGTTTTATTTGCAAGAACTCTATAAATTTCAAAGATAATTATAATGTGTATTATGATAAATTTATTGAAAAGGGAACATGCAATGTTCCTAAATCTTGGCTAAATTAGACCTTAGATAATATATGAATAAAGGCCGGGTTTCGAAGAATTTTGTAATGATTAAGCATGACTGAAATTTCACTTTAAAGGAAAAGTTGATTAAAAGGAATTCGTGAACTGGTCTCCCCATAGGATAACGAAGAAGCCACTAGCCTACCGTCCTTTGACCTCGATAAAGCCATGTTGATCCTCCCTCTGTCATGTGGCAGATATCGATAGAGTGATTCGACATCGTATTTGTGCGAAGCTGAGCTTTCGATGGTCGCTGTAATAAAAAGCAAGTATAGAGCATAAATCAACGTGGAAAAGGAAATGAGGGTGGCCGTGTCCAGTTTAATTCCACGATTTGAGAAAATGTGCAG